AAAAAAAAAAAAGTACCACCTAACAAAAAAGCCCCCTATTTTTTTCACCAATAATTACTATTCACCATCCATTAATTATTTTTCTGCTTACCTTAAAAGCAAAGTTAAAAACACATATATTCATGGAAATGTGTTTTTAGCTAGATTAGTTAACTTGGCAATTATGTTTTTTTTTACCTTAAACATCAGCTAACTAAAGACATGTAGCTTTATTACTAAGTTTAAGCACACCAATAATTTATACTTAAATGTCAAGATAAAGAACAGTAATATAGTGAGAAGATGCTACGGTCTCGTTACGGAACCATTCCGTCGAAGTTTGTAACCGTTTATCGACTATCTCTGACAATTACATGATGATCTAATGGTTACAAACCCGACGAAATGATTCCGTAATAGGACCTTAGCATTTCCCTCCCAATATAGTGAATGTATAGAACAGTTAAATGAGGAGATTTAGCATATTAGGACAAACATTGAGTAAAGAAAGCTATTTGATGATAAAAGTAAAAGAATGAGGCACACCAGATATATCAGATATGACATCTAAAGCACAAGCTAAAACTAATTAAAGTTAAGCACTTTGGAATATTTCATTAAATCTTGGAAAATCAGAATTCAATGTTCTTATTTCTTATGAAAATTAATGAAATTGAACACCACAACTCTTTAATGCCTTGTTTGGGCAGACATAACAGTAATACGTATTCTTTCAAACTGAAATATCACTCAAAAAAAAAAAAATATAAACAAATGTATCACAATTCATAGTGTTTGGACAAATATCTTTTAAGTTAAATGCATATGCCAATTTAATTTTAGGGTAACTTTTCTAAGAAAAAAAAAAGAGAGAGAAAAATAACGATAGAATCTTGAAGTTGGGAGCTAAAAGAAAGCTTATAGTAATTCAAAACGTGATTAATTTAAGTGGTAGACACACATGTTTCGTGATCCTATATGACGAAATTACATGCTTCGTAATTAAACTTAAATAGATTTTAATTTACTCCCAAACTAAAAATAATTAAATTCAGACTATCTATAGATTATCTATTGTCGTGTTACATGTATTAATTGAATTTTAATATCATTTCTTATAATAACCATTGAATTGAAAATGTAAAATAATATTTTTTTTAACAAACACCTGGTGTTGTACTAATAAGTGTTAATTGGAAAAATGAAAATTGAAAAATGGTAATCAATATTTTTTTTTTTTTTGGTACAAATATTTGTGCACGAAACAACTGCAGAAAAATTATTCGGAGCTGAAAAAATAAACAGATTGATTTAATTTCCGGTCCAATCATTTCCTTAATCTGGATTGATTTGATCAAAGGCTAGTCACATTAAAAGCTAAAAAAAAAAAGATCAAGCAAATATATTTAAGGAAGAAAAAAAGCTAGTAAAATTTAAGCAGAATTAAGAAATTAATGACATTTTCCTAGCTCCAAGACTCGATTTTAAGCTCAAAGACTCAATTTTTATGGCTATCTAACATCTGTCCAAGACTCAATTTTTAGCTCCAAGATTCAGTTTTTATCGCTATCTAACAACTTAATTTATTACCAAACCACGGCCAAACTCCGGTAAAAAAGATTCAAGAAGAGGAGGACGAGCCATTTGTACCAAGAGCTTGAGCAGTTGTACTTCCATGGAGATGGTGGAGATGAGCATTCGGTTTGACGTCGTGGTGGTGGTGGTGGTGGCTCACGCCGTTGCCGTTTGAGGCGGCGGCGTCGGGGGCTGCCGCCGGTGGGTTGTTCTCCTTCTTGCCGTAATTGTTCTTGTTGTTGTGCATCCACACTTTGAAAACCCCTCTGTCGACTCCGATTTCGTTGCAGAGCTCATTAATGGCACCGTCGTCCCTTTTCTGCATTTTCCAGCCGACTTTTTCGGAAAAATCGAGCATTTTCTCCTTCTGGAGCTGGGTGAACTTCGTTCGGTGGCGTTTCCGGCTGCCGGATCCCGGCCCGTGAGGGGACGCGAAGCCGGATC